GGTCCCCCTTCACCCCATCCCTTGATTTCAACAACCCAAAGTTTGATGTTGAAACAAATTATAACACAAATTTTACACGATGCTGTCACACTATTTGCAATTTCTATGTTCCGGATTCGGGTCGGATTTCGGATCGGATTTCGGATCGGATTTAGCGATACACATCGGATTCGGATTCGGATTCGGATTCAAAAATTGCCATCGGATTCGGATTCGGATGGGATTCAAAATAGCCATCGGATTCGGATTCGGATTCGGATTTTCAAAAATGCTGTCGGATCGGATTTTTGGTTCATGTCGGATCCGACGCACAGCACTAACCCGCAGACATATCAGACTCTTATCAGCTGCAATAAATAGCCGCGTTTTCTTCACCCACTACTGAGAAGCTCGTATGGGTGACAGCAATTAAGAAACAAACAGTCGGACGGCGAGTTCAACGCTACGTACCTGCAGACCGTTGTTCTTCTTATTCTTTCGCTCTACGAAGCGATTGTCGTTCTCGTAGCTGTAATTGTCCGCCGCGTGATTCGCCGTTTCGCTCCTCGTCTCGTTCTCCGTCAGCATCTCCCTCGTCTTCTCTTCCAGCACGTTGAGGTCTTTGACTCCGATGTAGTCCTCCACGCGCGCGACGGGCCGCATCTCCTTCTCGTAGGCATTCGGATCATCGTCGACTTCTATGTAGCTGCTAATCTCGTCAAGGCTCAAGTCGTGAGTCAACCTGAAGACATTATAAACTTGTGATTGGAAAGCTTAAGATAGATCATGATGTGGAATTTTAGATACGTGTAAAATGTAAGTAAGTGCACCTATTGACTATTGTAATTTGTAGTACTATTGAGTAATGCTCCTTTGTCTAATTTGCCGTTTTAAGAAATTAAGTACTTAGTAAAATGAACTCACTGACAAACCCAAGAGTACAGTAACAATGCCAATGACAACGAGAATGACAAAAATAGCATAGAGTAGTGACTGCCGAGTCGAACCTGTCGTCGGAGTTCACTGGCACTGCTGCCAGGGCCACAGTGACTCATTGAGTGAGTGATAGTCGACAATAACAACCTGTACTGTAGGCTGTACTGTAGTAGTACTAGTAGTACTAGTAGTAGTACTAGTAGTACTAGTAGTAGGCTGTACAGTACTGACACTGTAGTACTTCACTGTGTAAATCACTAAATGTTACGTGTCATGCAATTTCATGCACATCCTATGATATATCAGATTTGACAGCTGAAATGAAGTCATACTTACTTATATACATTTCGTTGTATATCAATAAACTGCTGATTACTGCCGAATGTTGGTCTAAAAGAATCAAACTGTGGATCAGCCATATTTTTCACGCAGACTGACTACCGACTCTTGCTGACGTCACGTTAATATGCGACAATATTTTGAAAAGACGGTTAAAATTCATTTATATGTAGTGATCCCTTCATTTTTAGATTTTACTACCGTAGTTACTTACTTTCCGGTTAAAATTATCCCGACCTGTGTTTGCGACATTTACTGATTTAGACGGAAAACGATACATCAAGGGCAAGGAAGTCGCCATCTTGAAAAGTCGGATGAAAATCTTGCCGGTTTCTTGATGTTTATTATGTATTCCCGGCTAGCTCTTCGTTCAGGTAGTGTGGTTTACTTTATTTATTTAAGAGGATACTCTGTTGCACCCCTAGTGTAACCCTAAAGAGCAGATTACATACATGTTGGTTCTAAAATATCAAGTATAAAATTAATGCGAATCTTCGACTTCGTGATGACTGATGAGTGATGTTACAAATTACAACATCATTACAATAGGCCTACATGCGTCTAAACAGAGGAATTGCACCGATCTGTGATTGGAGGATAAAATTAGAATTCGTGACGTTTCGTTTTCATTTTGCCCACCCCTCCGCATACGCTAGTATTACTATTACTATTAGTATTACCGGTACGCTATATGACCGGTAGGAAAGTGTACAAACACTGACAGTATAGACCCTAAATATCATATGGCGCGAACGATTTGATTTACATGTCTATAATTTCTAGCTATTATAGACACATTTCTTAGCTATAATCTCTGTAAATTTTGAGTTTATTGAAGCACGATTACTCTATTAGTTTAATTAATTAGCAAATATGCACGCGCGGTATCGCTCATACTCGTACTGCTAATACACGCGCGGCTATATGGCCGGTGAAACGAAACGACACGAATTCTATTTTTATCCTCCACTTACAGGTCTGAGCAATTCCTCTGTTTAGATGCACGTATTACAATACACTCACTAACACGGTGATACATAGGACAGAACTGACAGAAGTTGGGTTACGCCTCGACATCATCGCTGTTATCATCATCATTATTAACGAGGGTGAGATAGGCCCACACCACTTTCACAATGCAATATCATATGCATGTCACTAAGTCTATGTATTTGTACATAGACTCACTATTTAACAGTAACTGTTGTGTTGTAGGGAGTCTGGCTGCAGCACTTACACGACAGAATGCTGTAGTAACGTTTGTCCCAAGAGCCTCTGCAGCAACTGATGCAGTCACTAAGAAGGAAGATGGAGAGCGAGATCTTGTTAATTTTCCACGCCCAGCCAGACTGGTGGAGCCAGGCAAAGTGAGACTCGGTTTCATACCGGATGAATGGTTTACATTTTTCCACAACAAAACTGGTGTCACAGGTATGTAGCTCATACTCGTAGCCAAAATTACATCCAGTAATAGCATTCTTGTCCTCTGTATTCCCTGTATTTATATTTCCTATGGTTGGTAATGATTAATTGAATTGTAGGTGGGACCAATAGTTTGTTACAGTCATCCCAAGTGACCTACATTAATATCCCCTAAGATCCACTATAATTACAACAAACCAGCTTCTGCATGCTGAAAGGCACTTGTCATGCTGTATTATGTATATCTGAACCCGATGATGTAGTCATTCATTCGCCATTTGGTTTGATGTCTGAGTAAAGTCAAAGCCCAATTGATGCCAATATTAGGTACTATGAAGCATTTATTTGTGGGTTTAACAAGGTAAAATTCAAGGTATTTTCTAAGACTGGGTTAAACAAGGTAAAATGCAGGCAGTAAATCTCTTGTTAGGTGTAACATTGGTTTAATAATTACACTGCAATAATTGAAGTTATGACTGAATGTATTTGTTGTAGCAACGTAAAATTAGAGACGGTAGAGGGTGGCTACAGTACATTGATTTATCACAAAATGCTTCTATCAAGACACTAGCATCGTGACTTATAATAGTGCTGGTTGCTTAATGTGAATTCCTTAAGATGTCTTTGTAATATTACTATTGGTGATAATAATGCGTCCAATTCTATCCGTTTTTAGGCCCGTATTTGTTCGGCATTGGTTTGAGTACTTTCCTTGTATCGAAGGAGTTCTATGTTATGGAACACGAATATGTTACCGGCCTCTCTATTCTTCTCATGATCATATTTGCTACCAAGAAGTTTGGACCTGGTGTGGCAAAGGCTGTGGATTCAGAAATTGATGTATGTTTCAGGTTACTGTAATCACTAATGTGTTGGCTAGACATATATATATATATCAGGAGTTAATAAAGACAAAGGAGTTTGACACGTATTTGGTACTGATTTCACTACATTTTGTCGTACGAGTTTGATGTGAATAAAAATACAAATGTATGCAAACATGAGCTTCTTTTGTTCACTGGTCCTTATTCTATTTTCCAGTAGTATTACAAACCGCGTAGCTTCCTTCGTTTTGAGATAAATCGTACTTTTGCATGACATGGTTTTCACGTTATTTACCGTCGTGTGGCGAGGCCAAGCGGTAAATTCGCATACACAGCAACTGGAAGGAGGCTGGGCTTTTAGGTCGTAGTCTAGCCGAGTGCAGAAAATGCGCTTAGAAATTAAGTTACGTTGCACCCATGCTGGGTTTAAAAATTAAAACTATTTTACATTGAAATTATAGTTAGAATGCCTTGTTTTTATGGTTGAATCCCGCAGTTTTTTTAAATAAACGCTGCGCTGGTAAAAATATCTGAACTACTTCACCCGCGGAGGAATGATGTGTATGAATCTTATGAGTAAATTGACGCTCCAGCTGATTGTAGCTTTTCGCACGTTTTGCATAGCAACCGTTACTATGCAATAACGTACGGGAGACGCGATCCCTGTCGCGCCTCCTTCCAGTTGCTGTGTATGCGAATTTGCGCTTGGCCTCGCCACACGACGGTAAATAACGTAAAATCCATGTCGTGCAAAATTATGATTTATGTCAAAACGAAGGAAGCTACGCGGTTTGTAATACTACCGGAAAATAGAATAAGGACCAGTGACCAAAAGAAGCTCATGTTTGTATACATTTGTGTTTTTATTCACATCGAACTCGTACGACAAAATGTAGTGAAATCGGTACCAAATACCAGTGTCAAACTCCTTTGTCTTTATTAACTCCTGATATATATATATATATAATCAAGGTTGTATGGTTTTGATGTGCATGTTCACATACATGACAGATGTAGTGTCCACCAGGTAATTCTATTGATGTATAGACCTTTATGTATTTGAAACAATTAATGATTGTCTAGATTTAGAATGTCACTGGTTCTCGTAGACACTTTTCCTTGTATTATTAAAATGTTCAATTACACAGCATCTTTATTATTACGCTATCTTTTTTTAACAGAAAATTGAAGAGGGATGGCAAGCCTACAGAAATGGTGCGATTAACGGAATCGGAGAAAACATAAAGAACGAGGAACTGGCACAATGGCAGGCAGTGGGACAGAAGTGGCTTTTTGAGGCTAAGAAGGTAGGCTGACCAAGATCACTTGACCGTCCATTGTAGGTAATTAAATGAGTGTAATGCTCAATTGCAGAGCTAAGCGATTCAGAAGAACGCGGGCGTGCGAGCGCGTTCATTTGCTCACATTATAATCGGTGTGCGCTCGACTCTGCGTGTGCGTGTAAGGTCCGTCGCGTCATCGTTGCACGTGTGCGTCTTGCAGGAGAACGTTGCCCTGCAGCTGGAGGCAGCATACCGCGAGCGCATGTACGTCGCCTACCAGGACGTGAAGAGGCGTCTCGACTACCAACTCGTCTCGCAGCTCGCCGAAGCCCGGCTCAAGCAGAAGCACATGGCCAACTGGATCGTGGACAACGTCGTGAAGTCCATCACGCCACAGCAGGTGCGTGGCCCCGTGCACGGCCTACAACGCCCTACGGCGTAGCGCGACTGGTCGTGGTTTTTCGCTTATCGTGCTCGTGTTAGATACGCCTTGGATAGGCGGTGAAGAACGCAGGTCAGATATACCTTGAAAGAGATGCCATCTTCAAGGTTTACGTAAGAAATCGGTGAAATATGACGCTGGATAGAATTTTTTCTTTCGCTCGATTACTGATATAGTATTAATGAGCCGCTTGTACCAGTGGTTTGGCAAGTTGTTTAGTTCACTCAGTTATCTTGTTGAAAGCAACCACACCCAGGAACTTGAGGGTATATTGGTGGGTAAAATAACTTGCTATTTGCTGCAAACCCAATATACTCATGTACATGACATCCTGATGATATAGCAGCAGTGAATTACAGAAACGTACCCAGAATGCTGCAAGATAGTTTCATTTGGTAAAGTGAGTCCTCGGCATATTCTCACAGTACAATAATCTCTACTGTATTGCTTTCACAGGAGAAGGAGAGCATCACAAACTGCATCAGCGAACTGAAGAGGCTTTCTGCCGACGCAAAGGTTGGCATTGCATAATGGCTGCAGCATCGGCGACGCAAGGCGGTGAACTAAGTATTTATCCCTCGTGGGTGCTGACATTTGTTATGTAAATTTAAATAGGCTCACCCGTAAAACAGCACTGAATAGGCAAATGAAAAGCGAGCTACCGGTGTGTTTGTAAATCTGGCAATTGTATCGATACTAGTATCCATCGCTGGATGACAGCTTCACTTCTGGTGAAAATCTGCGATACATTCTTTGTAACACCTTTCCTGGTGACATAACCAAATCAGATGCAGGTAATAAATAGAAACGTGTTATAGTTAATACAACATGCACGAGTTTGTTTTTCATTACCCGGTGAAAGATATTTGATGGGTGTTCATGAGTGATATTACAGAAAATGATATTATTACACCTAAAAATTCTCAAAACCAAGGACATGGAAATTTACTTGAATATATTGTTCATAATATTTTTTTCGACATTCTATACGAAATAGTTACTGAATAAAAACACACAAGAACCCATAATAGCCTACACTGTCATAATTTCCTATTTACATTGAAAAGATGACACAATGTTTTTTACAATAAGCATTTCGCACTGACAAGAATATCTTGTGAATAAGAGTTTCATTATTAGATTCCTTCATTCCCAGAACTACTGTCGCTGTCCGAGTAGTTGCCTAGCAACCCTAACCCTGATGTCGTTGCCATGGTTACCTTGGAATTGCTGTCAGATGGCACCACTGATGTATTTGTGTCAGTTTGTGTTTTATTAGTGATTGACGTCCCATCAACTATGCCTTTGTCGTTGTGTTCCTTCTGAACTGTGCATGCTGCCACTTCTGTTCCAGCCACAGGTTGCACCAGTCGAATTTGACTGCTTTTTTTCGGCTTTACAAGTCCTGCCAGCAATCCCTTGGTTGTAGTCACGCCAATGCTTTTCTCCCAGGCTTGCTTCTTGGGCTTCTCCTGTTGGGAGCGTATGGGCGTATCCGGACCCTGAAGAAGAAAAGTTATATGCTCACATGTCAAAAATTTTGAATAGTGTGCAACATGGAGAATTTTCAAAAGCAGAAAAAGGTCCACGAGATGCCAGCATTGATCTCAAAATATTTATTAGAATTGAACAATGGTCAGAACTAGAAAATTCAGGGTATACTAAGAAGGTATGTAGGTAGATAAGGGTCTCTCTGGTAAACTGAAAAATCACTGAAAATGTAAAAGGCTGAAATTTGTGACGCCATTTTATCGTAAGAGTAAATTACACGTCCGAATGATATCGCATCAAGCATGTTTAACTTCTAGCAAGTGTTAAAGCCTGGGAGAATATACTGGCACTGCTTCCACATGTGTTTCTTATTAACTTTTACCTTAGCCAGGATGTCTGTAGGTTTGCCTGATGCAGAAACGGCAAGACGCTTTCTGACGGGTAGTTGGTCATCTTCATCGTCGGAGTCTTCCTCCAAACGCCTAATCGTGTCCGCATTCTGCTCTCCTTTCCCGAACACAGACCTATTCATATAGGAATATCAGTAAACGAAAAGTATTATTAATTGTTTTACTAAATCTTGGAGGCTTACGGAGGACTTAGCATCAGTTTAACTTTTAATTCAAGCTAGAACTATGTCCGTCGTGTTTAAGAGAATAATGTAGAACGTGTAACACTGCCGGCCTGTCTCATTTGTTCATATGCATATCTGTTAAATCGACACGTCTCTGCAATTTTTTTAGCAGTCGGAGAGAAAATACGTCACAAAACTCATTCCTGCATTCCAGATTCCAGATCCAATGTTCACGAGCAAAACTCAAATTTGTCACAGATTTCACCACAGTTGGCTAACGAGGCACCAACAGCACCACGTTGCCCAACGCGCACATCGCCCCCGCCCCCCCGGCGGCTCACCTGACGAGGCTTGATTCCTTTTATTAAAATAGTTTTCGTACACCTCTTCTCCCCATATCCATCACCAATTTATGCCTTGCTTAGCACATACGATAAAGTTAACAATGGCTATAGTTTTGGTAAAAAAATGACTGGTATATCAAGACTTGGCTCAAACTTTAAAAACATCCAGAGGGAGCCTGGGCACCCGTCATGAAGCTTTAGAACTGGATCAGAAGCCTGGGCACCCGTCATGAAGCTTTAAAACTGGATCGGAAACCCTGGGCACACGTTGTGAAGCTGTGGAACTGGATCAGAAGCCCTGGGCATCCGTCGTGAAGCTTTAGAACTGGATCAGAACCTGGCACCCGTTTGAAGCTTTACACGCTGATCAGAAGCCCTCGGCACCGTATGAAGCTTAGAACTGGATCGGAACCTGCGGCACCCGTCATGAAAAAAAAACTTTTAGAACCTGCGATCGGAGCCCTGGGCACCACGTCATGAAGCTTTAGAAACTGCGATCAGAAACCTGCGGCAACCCGTCATGAAGCCTGTTAGAACTGGATCAGAAGCCGTCCGCGGCACCCGTCGTGAAGCCTGGTAGAACTGGATCAGAAGCCCTGGGCACCCGTCATGAAGCTTTAGAACTGGATCAGAAACCCTGGGCACCCGTCATGAAGCTTTAGAACTGGATCAGAAGCCCTGGGCACCCGTCGTGAAGCTGTAGAACTGGATCAGAAGCCCTGGGCATCCGTTGTGAAGCCCCGCGGCTCTCACCTGACGAAGCTCTCGTCCTCCTCGTCCTGCAGCTTCTGCAGCTGCTTCTCGTACTCGTTGTGGAAGTCGAGCACGCTGGCGTTGTCGAGCGTCGCGTGACGCACGTTCATCTCGCGCAGCTCCTCGAGCTGCTCCAGCCGCTCCATCTCCAGCCGCGAGTCGTTCGTCCGCTTCTCCAGCACCTGCACACACCGGTTATTTGATATCGTAGTCACTCTGTAATCTCAGTATATCATTTATAGTATATACTATATATAGTATCTAACATATAGTATATAGCACCAGTAATTTTACTCGGTATATTCAATTGCCATCTTCACTAGTGCGAGACAACCATGCGCCCCCCACACACACCTCAATATTGTCACTAAATTCGCTCCACCAGCGCGAGACAACTATGTGTCCCCACACACACCTTAATATTGTCACTAAATTCGCTCCACCAGTGCGAGACAAGCATGGCCCTACACCTCAATATTGTCACTAGCAAGCGAGACCAGTTTATAACTGTTTTTGACATGTGCATGCCAAAATGTCAATGATATATCACTGCACCGATGAGCATTATTTTCAGAATGTCCCGTTGCAACACCGAGTGGTTACAGCTGCCTATGAATCATGCCAGGGGATTAGTTCAACTCCATTGTATTGTATTGCTTGTGTTGTTATTTCCCTTTTCCATGCATACTGCAGTTTGAACTTATCCTAACCTAATCCTAACCTGAATTGATTCAATAATATGAATTAGACAAATGGAAGTTTCATACACAACAGTCCTACTTACCAGCATAGGATTGTTGGCAATTTCTTCCTCTTTCTCTTTCTGTTCTTGCTCAGCTTGCTTATGTGCTAGCCTTTCAGCCTCGAAATTCCGTGTTGCTCCATGCTCCATCTGGTAGTCACAGTTTTGAAGATCAGTCTGAAAATGCACACATAAAGATGTTGCGAGTGATTGATGAAACATCCAAGGAACACTATATTTTATTACTACTCAAAACTATACTCATAATAAACTTGCACTTTGTATGTTGCCACTTGCAAGAATTATGTATATTTGCTGTACAAATGCTCGTTAAATAAATAAAAATGCTGTGAATTATTATAGCATTTCAGATGAATATACATACGAATTTTCTGTTCACTATAATTAGTGTGCTTTAATTGAAATTACACATTTATTAAGCAGTTCTATACCTTAAAGGTGATTTCTGCGAGACACCTGGGACATTTGATGTAGAAACGAAATATGCGCAATCCCAGGTAAGTTTCTCCTTGTACTGTCTCCTTTCTGGAGTTGAATTTTTTTCCTTTATAGATGTATTCACCACACGTTTTGCAACTGCGAAGAAAAAGAGAAGGTTCATGTGTCTTAGACTGCAATGATAGCTTTCATCACACTACACTTTGTTTATAAACTTGATAACAACTATAATATAGTAGGAATCACTTCTAAATGCAGAAACAATACTATTCCTTTTCATTGCCATATTCGATCTGTATCTTTGTAACAACATAGCAGCAGGAAATATACATATACTGGACTATATAATTATTAGAGTGATATACCATACCGCATGTTGAAGGGGGCCATTGTGCGGATGACATATTGCCTCTCTTTTGATAGCTTTAGTTTCGGAAGCTTTGATGGATCAAAATCCGGTGGGTAATATTTCTGAAAGAAAAATAACATTTAGCCAGTATGTCACTATATCATATATGAACCAAACTTAGGATCCTAAAATTATATATAGATCTCCTGATTGTTACTGCAGTAATATGTTAATATTGTTATTTCAAGGATTGCGATGTAATATCTGTGCATAACCACTTATACAATTCTGAAAGTCAGTGCACAAACAACTGCAGGCTCATATGTGAATCATTCAGTACACTGACCTATGACAAATATGCTACATGTCGCAACTGCACACAGCTCATACTATAGCCCAGGAATATGGTATAGCCTATAGCAAGAGTAACTAATAACACAAGAGTTACACACCCGATTCCTGCATTTTTAACCGATTTTTCTCATCAAAATTTGCCACCAATAAAGAAGCAAGTGTATATACGTTCCTCAGCTTATTATGACCACTAATCACTCACCTTCGTGGTACTGATATTCGTTTACATATATTTGCTAGCGTATTGCTGTAAATCGTAATCTTGCACGAGCTGAATTCGCACAATTTATCGCTATTGTGTAGAGGTTTTAAGCCAAAATTTGAAGCTATAGTGGCACCAATATTTAGCAACGGACTGTTTCCAAATCATTCGTGCCCCGATAGGGTTGAGAGACAATCTAAATTTCGAATTTTGATCTCGTGAGGAACCGCGAGACGCGCTCAGTTATTGTGATCGCAACACAAGAAATTGACATACTAGCTTACATAAGTAATAATACAATAATAACAATATTCTCTGTAGTAGTTTGCAGTACATATCACATTACGCACGCGCAGGTAATCAAGTACATTAAACTCCTATCGGGGCACGAATGATTTTGGACAGTCTGTTGCTAAATATTGGCGCCACTCAGGGGCGAATCCAGAGGGTTTGGGTGACCAGTTTCCATAGTTCTAGTCACAGCTAGGGGGGTCCGGGGCATGCCCCCCCCCCCGGGAATTTTTAAAAAATTAGGCTATATTTAGTGCACTCTGGTGAATTCTGGAAACCGGTGCAAACCGGCCTAAATACGCGCCTGGATAATGAGAATACCAGAGCGAAAGAAAGAAGGTGAACGAGAGAAGAATAAGAAAGAGACGCAGTAAGAGGGAGGTGACGAAGAAGAATGAGGTGGATGTGGAAAGGATGAAAAGGATGAGAAAGTGGGAGAGGAGGAGGGAGAGAAAGAGAAAGATGAAGAAGAAGAAGAAGAAGAAGAAGAAGAGGGAAAGGAAAGAAGAGAAGGGGGCGAAGGAAGAGATTGAGCAAGCGGATAAGAAGGGGGAAATGGAGGAGGAGGATGAGAAGTAGGAAGAGGGGGAGGAGGCAATAGTTTCCCATGAAAACTTCCTATCTCTACCACTCGTGTTATTAAAAAAAACCTCTGGGGGCTCCTGGTGTATGCTCGCTCATGCTCGGTATATCTACCAAACTGCTATTATGCTCATATTGTATACAGGTAACGGTGGAAGTCATACTCAGCAGTAGTTTACCATGAAAAAACATCTTTCGAAATATCTGACTGCTAGGGCGCCCCGCCTACGGAATTAACGTATACTATAGGTTTGGCTGAGGTGTATGTTCGCGCATCCCTGGCATCTACTAAATAGAAACTGAATTCTGTTAATAATTGTTCATTTCAAGGGCTGTCAAAACTTTAGACCGTCTGCTGTAAACATTACATTAAGTGCTACATATTTAATACAATTACACTGTTAGGATTTTAATAATTTTATTAAAAATTGAAATAATAGTGTAACCTCCTAATGAAATACCTTATGCTGATTTCGACGTTTTCATGATTACAAGTATATAATTGTATTTGCACGCGTTATACTTTCCTTTCTATTTCTTCTCCTGCACTCGCCATTAATATGCATGTATGCAACACTAAAAACACATTTTTAAATACGTAACCACTACATCGTTGGTTATTACAAACTGCCTTCCGGCGAATACAATTTTTGGCGAGAAATCCCCGCGAATGCATACAGAATAAAATTATGATGTGATTATATATATATTAACGATTAAGATTATGCGCTATATCATAATATTAGAGAGGTGGCTCGTATTAGCAAACATCATCGGGAAATCAGTTAAAATCGCAATCCGTATCACGCATATACATACATATACATACAACCAAGAGCGTATATACTTAATATTCAATACTATATAGTAATATA